TTCCTTTTAAATATTTTCAGTGGTTTAGATGTGTCTATTTGCATTACGAAGTTAATCAGAAATATGTTGTGATTTACTTTGGTTGATAAAACTCAGTATTAACCCTTTATACTGGCACTCAGGCAAACACTTTGAGAATCAAAATTTCATGCCAATAGTGTTATTAGAATCGAGGACAAGACCTTATTACCTTTGTAACATAAAAAATATGGATATTTTGATGGCAAAAATTGATGTCAATGTAATAACAAGAATCTCCAACTTGCCCAAATATATTGAGAAAAATTGTTACGGTTCTGTTTGTAGGGAATGTTTTTGTGTTTTCTTTTGAGTTTCTCCTTCTACCCACTAGATGGTACCCTTTCCCCTGTTTGGCCTGGAGGGCCTCTTCTGGTTTTCCCCCCACACCTGGGGCGTGTTGGGTCATCACCAGAGGAGTATTTGATCAGCGGACTGTCACCACCTCAACGCCAGAGTGTTTGCCAGTATTGGGTACTCTAGCCTCACTAAGATTAGCTGAGTCTAACTTGTAAGCCTTTGCCTCTCTGAAGGTTTTCACCTTTTTTGTTCTCCGGCAGGATAATTCCCTGATCCGCTGGATAAGCCTGGTCCATCTCCCCTAGGAAGGAATTATTCGTCTCACACTGAGCAAGGGGAAACCTTCACATGATCCGTTTAAGTCCTCCTCAAGAAAGTCAGTGACAGTCCGCTCCGCTGCTCCTCTGGACCCACCATTAGTCTGCCTGTCCACCCTCCAACAAGTAACCATCATCTCGGGACAATTCCCCCCAAAACTGGACCCAAGGATCAACATAAAAGCCTTAAATGTGAGCCAAACTGTTCCATTCATCTCCTTCGATCAATTTCCCTACAGACTTTGAACTCATCACTGTGATCTCCCCCCTAGAGTTTCCAGTTCCGGTTCACCAGGCCACTGGATACACCCATCTGAGAATAACCTATTTTCTGTATCTCTCTCTGAGTTTTGTAAACCTCACAAATAAACCGCTTTTTCCGTGCTTCTGAGTGGTTTTCTGCATGTGGGTAAAATCTTTGAGACCCATCATGACAGAAATAGCAAATGTGCTTCTATAAGAAATTAATAAAAAAAAAACTCTGAGTAAAATAAACGCATTTTTAGGTCCAACATAACTTTAGAGGAATTAACGCTGATACTGGCATTGACATTTTTTTAGTTTTTTAAACCTAAATATAATTTTTAACTAGGGTTAACAACTTTTAACTTACAGCTTATTTCTTGACTTAACTTTCTTTTCCAACTTAATTTCCAGTAGGTAATATATCATTCAAGTGCTGATTTAATTGGTCAAATGCCAAAATCAGATGGACAGCCATGTAGCAGGATCTTTGCTGAATGGCTGGATATAGATATAATGCTTCTAGACCTCCTGAGGGAAGGGGGGCACGGGGGGACTCCATTTGNATATAATGCTTCTAGACCTCCTGAGGGAAGGGGGGCACGGGGGGACTCCATTTGCAAGGGGAATGCAAGTGATCAAAAACGCTAACTTGCCCAATAAAGACTTGGGTCAATTCTTTCTGAAATATAATTTCCCAAAAGGAAAATGTAGACTTGTTTTTTTTTTCTGTCTCTAGTGGAATTATATTGTACATATATTTTTAAAATGTCATGTGTGTTGGGGAGTGTGACTAAATGTGTGATATTTGGGGGCACTATTGATATAAGTAATATTGCCTTGGGCCACACAATATACAAAAAATAAATAAACAATTTAATGAATGCTGCCTTTGTAAAAAGGGTGTTTCCTCTGGCACCAATGTTATCTTTGCCATCCCTGTTAAGGACATTGTTTGAAGGCGAGAGTAATACATTAAGAATCTCAACAATTCAGTGTGATAACTGGCACTGAGGGAATGCACTTGCTATCTTGGTAATACAAAGGGTTTGCTGAGAGATCAATTATGCAAGAAGACCAGTTAGAACAACAGCAATCCTGTACTCTATAACCACAGCTCCACATTTAGAGCACCAGGAGCTGTTCACATTCTGCATGCATCTAATTACCATATAGAATACAGCATTAATATAAAATATATCACACTCATCGGAACTGCTGATTATTTCTAAGCAAAACACATCCTTCTGTCTTTGTGAAGAAAACATTCCTAACTAATATTGTTACTGTCGCAGGGCAGCCGCTGTTCCAACCGTTACATTTCTGAATTCTCCCGAGTGGTGCCTGACTTTACACGAGTGAATAAAGTGAATGTGATTGGTTGTTTATCAAGGGGGCGGGATTGCTGTGGCAGAAGGTTTGCAAGCAAGTTTAATTGTGGCCGGTGCTTTGGAAGCATATTGCTAAACAGTTAGCAACTTAGTGCTAGTAGGTTCCCAATGGGAAATTACATTGGGACCAAGTAGCACTAAATTGGTGAGTTTTTTTTTTTGGAGGTCATGGATGAGTCTCCTCCGTCATCCATTTTTTAGTTAGAGGAGGAAAGCGGGGACCAAGATGTTTAGGAAGAGGACGCCAGGGCGGCAGAAGCTTGGTTTACAGCCGTACATGTTTGAGCCCTTGCCTCGAACTGATCAATTGTTCTGTCAGAACAATGCTCTGTTTGTAACCATGTGTCATGTCATGTTCTGTTAATAAAACGCTCTGCGGAGGAGGTCCAGTGGGAGACAGTGTATTTGAGTCTGGGGTTTAACTTTCTCTCCTTCTGCAGAAGCCGTATAAAAAATCCCTTATTGTGTATTTAAGTTCTTCCTTTTACAAAAACCTACATTTTTTGAACCCAACATTTTTGGTGCCGAATCCCGGGAGTCAAGATCCAAATGCCCAGGACCGTGTGGGACCAAGGCCAAGAATCTGTCGACAGCTGACCTCCCTTCGCCGGACGGGGCCAGTTTGGTCCAGCCCTGCCCTGGGCATCTTGGTGACGACTCCAGAGGAACTGACTCTACATGACAAAGGGTAGGCCTAAAGCTTTTGATCAAAACTTGGTGTGGGACCATTTAAGTTACAGCTGTAATCGCAAGAATATTTGACAAAACAAAGTTTTGTTGACAGTTCTGGGATCTGCGTATTCTGTGCGTTAGAGTTTGGGACTCTGTGCTGTTCTCGAGATAGTGTAGTAGCAGTTTTATTGTCTTATATCAGAAATCAGAATCAGAATGTATCCTACAACATGGCCCTACACTTACTTAGCAACAAAACAGTACATCTTGAAGTTCAAGTATGAGTCTTAGCAATAAATAAAGTCTCTAATGCTG